CACATACTCTCTGAAGTGGTATCACAAGACGACAAGTGGGTTTTTATATGCACAGATAGGGGAACCACATTACTAAAGACTGTCATTCTTCTTGAAGTCTTTGATGTTTAGGCATCCCTCACAGTTGCTAGTAGCACACATCATTTTGTTTAGACCAATGGTCATCTCTGAACTCTTTCTATGATCTCTGCCCTTCCTACTTTTTCCTTTCTAGGCAGAGTTTCAGAACCTGTACACTACAGTCTTCATTACCTTGTCCATACCCATACCAGCTATGGCTACTAATCTGTCCCACAAAAAGAGAAAACAGAGGTGCAACCACTGTATTTGCTCACTAGCAGGGATAGAACCCTACCTAGTACCTTATCTGCATATTTTCTTCTGTCATCCTTCTAGCACTTGTAATCATGTAATCATTAACACTTTCCTGTGTTTCCTTTTTTAATTCCATTTGCAAGGACAACATTTCCTTTGAAAGCAAGTGAGACAGTCAGTAGAATTTAAACCTCAGCTCTTCCTAATCTAATTTGGCCTCTGCTAGTTACATATACTTTTTGTTAGCCACCCAAATCTGCTCTTCACTGCCAGCAAAAGTGACTAACTACTGGAGATAATAGAGAGCACCTTGTTCTGAGCCTTGGTTGTGATATAAGGATGTCAGCTGTTTTCACCTCTTCAAAGGAAGAAGAGGAGAGAGGAGTACCTGTTTTAGGGAAAAGCTGACTTACAGAGGCATTGTACTACTTTTCAATGGGATCCTGCTGATGTGATTAAAAGGTGCTGTTCCACGGCTGCATTATCTCATTCACTTTGAAAGGGAAAGAAGCAGAATTGATCAAAACATGCCTCCCCAGGGCTGCATTCTGAGCCACTTTTAGTACAGCAGCAGATGATGTGAATGTGAAGTGCTGTTTGCTAGGTTTGTTAAATAACTGTGGGATAATAGAAACTGGGGACTTGCTTAACATGTGCTTTTTACCTCTTCTTTATTCTTCAGTCTCATGGAATGGATCAGTAAACCTCACCACTATTCAACCATGCCCTCTCTATTCTCAATAGGGTTTCTACAAATGTGCTTTGTATACGTGTGGCATATTATTTTGTTAAACCTTTTATGGCTTGCCAAAAAACAAGTTGTACAGTTGATTTTAATTAGAGCTGGTTGAATAGTAAAAACAGCAGTTTGTTAAGAAACATCATAAGTTTGTTTCACTACTATTTGTGGAATCATATTTTTCCTTGCTTTTGAATTTATCTGGCCGTTAGTTTGTTTCTGAAAATGTTTGTGATCTCTTCTCCCCCCTCCTCCCTTCATGAAATTTAGCCTGCATAATGAGTCAAATGAAAATATGATTTGTTCCTGTTTTGGTGGATTGTGTCAGTCATGCAGTTACTTTCCAAAGAGATGCTGAACACCTTGCTAGAAGAGACTCCAGATCTGGGATACTCAGACTTTTGGGGACTACAGGATTAAGTCTCAAGTGTACTCAGCACAATCTTTCATCCTTGTAAGATAAAATATAGTTAGTGGAGCACTTAGATATGCAGTGTGCTGTATGGGCATGTCTACATGACAGAGAAGATCAACCCTCTGGAGGTCAATCTTCCAGCATCTGATTTAGCGGGTCTAGTGTAGATCCCTAAAGTGATTACTGAGGGCAGCCCTGGATGACATCCAGTATTCCTCCTTCTGTGAGGAGTTAGGGAAGCTGGCAGGATAGTATGCTCCCATTGTCCTCCAGCAGTGTGGTCAAGGATTTACAACAACACAATTAACACAGGTGGAGTTACAGATCTATTGGAGCATAAGCTTTCGTGGGCAAAGACCCACTTCGTCAGAGGCATGTCCATTTGGTATGATGTCCATCCATTTGCATTTGAAGAGAAAGATCATATCTGTCTGTACTTGTGCGAGTTTCTTCATGAGGTTGATGGATTTACACTCCATACGACTAAATGCAGTGCCTTGAATGGTGTCAAGTATGAGAGGAGTAGCTGTGTTAGTCTGAATCTGCAAAAGCGATGAGGAGTCCCATGGCACCTTATAGACTAACAGATTTATTGGGGCATAAACTTTCGTGGGCAAAGACCTGCATGCATCTGACGAAGTGGGTCTTTGCCCACAAAAGCTTATGATCCAAAAAATCTGTTAGTCTATAAAGTGCCATGGGACTCCTCATCACTTTTGCAGATTCAGACTAACACGGCTACTCCTCTCATACTTGACAGGTGGAGTTGTGTATCTTAGGTTGACCCCACTCCTGTGTAGACCAGGCCTATGAGGCTTAACTGAAAATTAAGGTCCTATCTGCTGGGCAACATTTAATTGGGATTTAAGTGGAGGCTGGTTCTGCTTTGAGCAGGCAGATGGTCCTACAGAGGTCCTAACGAACCCAATCTTCTATGGTTCTATGACATTTTTCACAGCAGCAGAAATATATCCCGGTGTCTTTGAGAAACGTTTGTTGTATAGTGAACAGTGTGCAGATTGTCTGCCTGACTACCTGGGCCACCTTATCTATCTTCTTTAGAATTCTTCAGTATAAATGGTGCTATCTAAAAGTATATTTTTATTTGTATTATCTTATCGCCAAAAATCTCCGTCAAGGACCAGGATCTCATTGAGCTAGGCACTGCAAAAACAGAACAAAAAGACAGATCCTGGGCCAAAGAGCTTATCATCTAAGATAAAAGACAACAGGTGGATACAGACAGACTGATTACAAGGACACAGTATTTGTCCACATAATAAGCTGTGGTCTCAGGATGCCCATAGCCTGTTTTATATACCTAACACCAAAGAAGACTTTTAAGAAGGGATTTGAAAGAGGTGAATGATGAGATTTGCAGACGTATAAGAGAAATAGCTCCCAAGTGTGAGGGGCAGCATAAGAGAAAGATGGAACATTTTAGTTTCAAAATGTAAGTGGGCGATAGAGTCAGGCATCCTGGGCATATTGAAGGTGGAAATCAACCTTGTTAATGTTATTAAAATCAAATCAACCATTAGATGTTAGAGATTTCTTAAAGCCTGTTTTTGTCAACTGTGCTTAGAGCAATCGTCAGTAACAGAACATATTAAAGAAATTTAAAAATGTACTTTGGGTAATTAATTGTTCTCATTATCATCTTTTTTTTTCTTCATATGTGAGAGCACTCACCATTTAGCCCTGTCAATTTAAGTACTGAGTCCCTGGATATTTCCTGAATCATATTTTTTATGTTTAAAGCATTAAAGTGAAATGAATAGTAGTGCTGGATGAGTCTTTCAAACTGAAGTATGAGGACTGCCACAATCCAGTCTGCCAAAATGAACCTGAATATTGGATTTTCATGTTCACTATACTATCAAAACAAGCCAAGGAAAGGAGGCAGGGAAGAAGTGAGCTCCGGATAGCTGTCTTTGAAACAGATGGGATGTGGCTGAACTTGACTGCTTTTTTTTTTTTTTTTTTTTTTTGATTAGTCAAAAAGAAGGAGAGGACCATGGAAGCCTAGCTATTTGGGGAATCTAACTAGGGACATAGATGGAAAGATAGATCAATAGGAGAGGTGGTAATTTTGGATTTTTGCTACCCTTTGTGATAATGATGGTACCTAGAGCAGAGCCTGAACTTCCCTGAATTCAGTCATTCCTCTGGAATGTTGTGAAGTGCCATGTATTGACAGAGGCAAATATAAATGTTGCTTTAGTAGGTGTATGTGCTTTGGCACTCGAGAACTGTACATCATCTGTGAATTTGCCAACAAATGTATGGATATTTGTTTCAAGGGATTGTTGCATATCAGTATGAAGAATGTCACCACAGCCCTAATTAATATTAGCAAGTGTCTTCCTTAATGACAGTATTAACCTACATCATTATTTTCATACTTATCACTGTACCTAATGCATTGCTCCTCGATATCAAACGTCTAGGTCAAAAGCCCCCAATCAAAGATTCCTAGGGTCACACTGGAGAACATAACCCCTTTTATGTGTTCCATGTCAGAGAAAATTTGCTGTCAAATACAGTCCCTCCAGTCATATACATTATGTGCACAGAAGATGGAAATTTAAGGCTGGGACAAGGATGGAAATTTCAGAGCATGAATAGTGAGTGGAACTTGACTGTTTTATGTTGTTCTTTCCAAAAGCTGGTTAATTAGAAGCCCTTCTTCTACTGCAGCTTAGCTTTTTTATTTTTAATTGTTACCCACTTATTTATATTGCCAACAAAACAGATTGTTTATGAACTGTCCATCTTAGTATACCTCTAATCCATTGGCACTACTGTGAATATTATTTTATTTCCTGAAAAGTTTTAAGTAACTGTTGATCTCTTTTCACAGGTATGTATTTCCAATGATCCTATCTGATGCATGACTCTGCCGATATCATTCATATATAAATTTATTTAGGTATGTTGATGCAGTTCTGTTCTCTTTGTTGTTGTTGGGGATAAGTGTAATATTTTCTAGATATTTGGTAACAGAAGAGCAATGATCCCCCAGACCTTATTTAAGTTAATTTTGGCCTGTCCTGCATGGTGTTGAGCTGTCTTATCATGAACAGAGCACCTTCAACCACTATTGATTTCTTTTTGTTCCTATACTAAATTTTGACCTGATTTTAGGTAATATTCAATGGAAATTGTGAGTGCTCATCACTATCAGGAGGCCATATTGTGCCTATGTATTTGAAACAGAACTCTCCGTATATAATCAAAAGCAATCCACCAGATCACTGTTGTATTATTCTTCATAGTTATTGGTACCTAATATAGTCTAGGATCAGTCTTGTTGGACCAATACTGTTCTCATTTACAAGAGCGTAAATCTGTCATAGAGTCACTTATTTCTTTGTGTTTCAATATCTGAGTTAGCAGGAAAATGGATAATCAACAGAATTTCTAAAGACGAGAATGAACTTAATGTCCTCAAAAATCCTGATTCTCCTGGTTAATTTCATACAACATCACTTTTAGTGATATTTTTCATTTACTCATTTATTTCTCGAGTTCTTCAATGATCTGAAACAACATGACAATTTAAAAATAAACAAATAAGGTTACATCTATTTTGCTCTTCCCCGGAACTCTTAAATGAATACCACATTTTGAGGGTAGATTGGGATACTGACAGCTGTACTGCTCCCCCAGGAGAAAAATCGCTGACTTCACTTGTTTGAGAAGCAATGGAAAATGTTGCGGAAGATGAGAACTATGATAGGTAAGAAAGCAAATACAAATTATCAAACTGACTTTCAATTCAGGCTGCTTTGTAGACTTCATCAACACAACCAGCATAAAGAGGGCAGATAAAAGGTGAATGCAGATTCTCAGTGCTGCTCTTTATCTTGGAGACACTGATTGCTACCATCACAGAAAGATTATTCTGGTACATGAGACTCTGCCTTATTTGAAGAGCTGGTGCACAGACTAAATGACACCCTTTCTATATACAGGGAAATCAGGGGCCATTTCATTTATATTCTACCACCTATCATGCAGGGTGCTGGATGTCTCCTGTTTATGCTCTCAAGCACTCAGGAACTTTCAAAATGAACCCTCTAGAGCCAAATTCTCAGCCTGGCCTAATTCTACAATGGGAATAGATGGGCTGTATTCTGGAAATACTACATGAGATAAAGTGTGGGAGGTTGTGCAGCTGCTTTGTGGAATGCAGCTGACATCTCTGTTGCAGTTGCTGAGGTGAGAAGAGAAAATTTGGTCTCTAGCAGAGACTCTTGGCCTCCCCCAGTTTACTAATTCAGTGTGCCTATCTGCCTCCAGAGTAGGGTTTCACATTCTGCCCTTATGGAACAGTGATCTGGACTGGACAGGGATTGCAAACCTTCTGCCCCACCCCTCAAACATCTAGGCTGGTCTCTTGTGCAGCTGAATAACTTTAAGTTGCTGCATCCTGCTTGCCCATTCAATCTGGTTGACTCTGTGGAATGGTACAAAACAATGGACCCCGTTCTTTCTTCTCATTCCCTGCCTCTTTGAAGTAGTGTCCCAGTCCCTAGCCAAGCTCAGGAACTACAGCAGTGACAGGTGTTAGCAAGGAAGAAGCAGGCTCCCTACACATCCATATAAGTACCTGCCATGTGTATCCTTTGTTTTCTACTCTGCTTTTGTTCTTCAGTTGTTGTACGATTGTGTGACTTCATAATCACGTGACACAGTTAAATCAAAAGTTACCAGCTTTGATGGGGCATGCAAACTCTGCACTGGGATGGAAGGGGTTAATGGCAGAACTGGCTCTTCCTGCTCTGCAAAACTTGCTCCAACTGGAGAAGAGTTTAAAAGGAAACAAAAAGGGGAGGAAGACAGGCTTATCCTGAGGACTCCTGTTAGAGGTGTTAGTGAAGGACTAAGACTGTATGCAGAGCCTTCTGGGGCTGATGGCTTGATTGCCTATTCTTTTGCTTTTCACCTCATTTGTACTGGAAGATAGAGAAGAACAGCAGATGGTAGGAAGGGAGGGTGATGTGGTGGTCATCTTTGGGGGCTGTAGCCCCTGAATTTGAAATTCCTGTGTGTACCCCAGAATTTGACAGCACTGTTTTGTGTGTTTAATTACTTGCAGCTGAAACCCAGAGGTTACATAAGTAGGTATAATCTTAGGGTCTGGAAAGCAAGACACTGCAGCTACTGCAGTTGTGACCCCAGCCTTGATGCCAGGTGGCAGGCAGCCCCAACTGCTGTGTGGGCTGCTTCAGCCCCGCTGCCTCTCAGGCTGATGAGGCCTAGCCAGACTCCCTGTTATGGGCTGCTGTGGTCTAGGCCATGCTGCAGATGTGTGTGACAGACATCTTCTTCCAGGCTGCTGCAGCTCTGCTGCCAGTAGATTGGCAGGGCTGCACCAGGCTCCCAGCTGCTGTCCCTCCTGCGCTGGGGCTTTCTCATCCAAGAACGTCTATGGTCATGCTGGACCACGGATGTTGCTGGACGAGAGAATCCCAGATTTTGGAGGTGCCACTGTAGTAATTTTGCCAAAGACATCAATATGAGCAGTAGGATTGTTTACCTCAGTTCAGGAAAACATTCCTATTTAGGAAACGTGCTTTCAGCAATTGTTAGGTTTGTAATGATAACTGGGGTCTAGTAGGTGCAGCCCAGTTGTGATCTTAACTGTGGGAAAGAAAAAACCCTTAAAATCTCACAATAACCTATAACAATAAATGTTGATGGGGAGGGTGTGCAAGGGAAACAAATACGGAATAAGTCAAAACAAATAAGCCTACTGACATAACTCAGTGACTGTTAAGATGATGCCTGGTAAACAAGAGAAGTGTGGCACTGAAATTCAATGCAGTACAATTGTTGTGATGGAAATTAGGCTTAATTGGTGGACAAAATAATGAGAGGATAGGCTATTCCACCCACCACTTCACATCAGTTTCTTTAAAAGAGAGTTTGGCGGGAAATAACAAGCAGATACAAATGCTGGTTGACTGAAAAATCGGATAACAAGATGGAGCCAGGCAGCTGTCAAGTCCTCTGTCTTTATCCTAAAAAATGTCCTGACCACAATGGGACAGACCAAAGCAAGGGACTCATACAACATCATCATCTCCACTGACTCTCTCTAAATCATGAACATCCTATTAAACAGTTTTAAACAAGGTTTGAGGGTAGGTATACAGAGACCTCAGCCTTGTTAGTGCCATGGCAAACAAGCCACTAAAATCTTTTTAACCTTTCCTGGAAGATATAGGAAAGGAAGGGAAACTGTTAAAGCATTTCAAATGTAAAGTGTTAAATAAGGTTTTCATTTTAACCATTTAACTTCTTACCCTTAGCCTTTAGCTTTTATGAGGAAAATCCTCTTGCCTGACAGTCCTTGAAATTGTTTTAAAGATGTCAACATCAGGCAGTTGTTGCTGCTAATGTTAAAGCCCAGTCCATTTATTTAAAAGCAAAACAAGGTGAAGACATGCAAAAGGGGTCAGAAGAGAACAGCAAAGATAGAAAATGTCGCTTCTGTTCTGGGCCTGATTTCCTCTTGCAGTCTCACTGCTGGGGAAACAAACAAACAAATATTACAAACACAGAACACTGTTTTATCAGTCACTCTGAGACCTGGCACACATGCACCACTGTTTGGGCTGGTTAGGGCTTGCTTTCTGTGGCCTGTCTGATCTCAGGCTTGTGATGCTACAAAAATATACAGTCTTGGCCAGCAAAACCAAACTCTTATTTACACATAAGGAAAAAGGAGAGAGAGAGAATGCGAAGAAAAGAAAGATAACCCAAAGTCTCACACCCCAGATATGTTCCGGGTTTGGACAGATACATGGTCACCTTAACACTTTTGTCTCTTGGTAGGGCTGCAGCACAAAATTACAAAATTTTAATATTTAATGTGACATCATGTATGTAATTTCATGAATTGTGGCCCGATTTTTATTAATTTGATTTTGATTAATTGTTAATAACCTGTTAAGAATTGCCTTTGGAGAATCTGTTGTTGTAACTTCTTTCTGAAACTTTTTTTTTATATATTCTAAGTGAAACCCCATTTTAACCATATTGTAACTGAAACTGCATTTTAAACTTTGTACTGCCTTAACTCTGTTTAAAGTTAGGTGTGTGTGTGTGTGTGTGTGTGTGTGTGTGTGTGTGTGCACGTAAAGGAATCAGTCTCTGAAGCCAGCCTGCCTGGAGACGACCTGACAGTACCACCATGATGGCTGAAGAACAATACGAGTGAGCCCTGCAAATGAACCCACCTGAGAAAGAGAGACAAAAGCCCCATCAAGAAAAGAAGAACAAAGTCCCATCTGCCATTAACTGTTGATCCATGATCATACAGGGTATATCTAGACTATATGGCTCCATCGATGGAGCCATGTAAACTAGTTTACCCGGCATAGGCAAAGAAGCGGGGATTTAAATAATCCCCTCTTCATTAAAATAAACATGGCCACCGCACTGTGCCGACAATCAGCTGATCCGGCACAGCATGGCAGTCTAGACGCGGATCTGTCGGTTGGGGAAGCCTTTGCACAGTCATTATTTCTACAGAATCATTGGTGTATACAACACTTGTACATATTAGAGAAGACAAGATCCTTGTCCAGGAGAAGTTATGATCCAAGTATGAACCTGATCGTCCTGTTCAGGCACTGATACATGCACATTTAAAAAAAATCAGACACACGATTATATTGATGTGATGTAAAGTTATCTCATATCAGTAAACTGATCCTGCAAACACTAAGGCTATGTCTAGATTACAGGATTTTTTTGAAAAAACTTCACCTGTGTCTGCCGCTGCGTTCTTTCGAAATTAAATCGAAAGAAAGCGGCGGTTTTTTTGACAGCAGTAAACCTCATTTTACAAGGGGGAGGGATAGCTCGGTGATTTGAGCATTGGCCTGCTAAACCCAGGGTTGTGAGTTCAATCCTTGCAGAGGCCATTTAGGCCGTGTCCAGACTCAGGGGTTTTTTCGGGAAAAGTAGCCTTTTCCCGAAAAAACTTCCCCTGCGTCCAGACTCAAGCCGCGTTCTTTCGAAATTATGTCGAAAGAACGTGGCTTTTCTTTCGATGGCGGTAAACCTCGTTTCACGAGGAAGAACGCCTTCCTTCGAAAGTTCCTCTTTCGAAGGAAGGCATTCTTCAATGTAAAGAGGCCGTCTTCAAAAGAGAGCATCCAGACTCGCTGGGTGCTCTCTTTCGAAAAAGCGGATTTCTCTTTCGAAAGATCCACCGGCAGTCTAGACGCGATCTTTAGAAAGATGCTCTTTCGAAAGATGCTTTCGAAAGAGCCTCTTTCGAAAGAAGCCTGCAGTCTAGACATAGCCTTAGGGATTTGGGGCAAAAATTTGTCAGGGGTGGTACTTGGTCCTGCTGTAAAGGCAGGGGACTGGACTCAATGACCTTTCAAGGTCCCTTCCAGTTCTAGGAAATAGGCATTCTCCATTATTAAAAATGCCTTTTTTCCAAAAGAGCTCTTTCAGAAAAAGGCGTTCTTTAATACAAACAGGGTTTTTTCTAAAGAGAGCATCCAGATTGCCTGGATGCTCTCTTTTGAAAAAGGGGATCGCTTTTTTGAAAAAGTTGTGGCTGTCTAGACGATCTCTTTCAAAAGAAGCTTTTTCTAAAGATTCTTTCGAAAAAAGCTTCTTTCGAAAGAAGTGTGTAGTCTAGACATACCCTTTGGCTACGTCTACACTGGCCCCTTCTCCGGAAGAGGCATGCTAATTTACAACTTTGGAATAGGGAAATCCGCGGGGGATTTAAATATCCCCCGCGGGATTTAAATAAACATGGCCGCCGCTTTTTTTCTGGCTTGGGGAAAAGCCGGAAAAGAGCATCTAGACTGGCGCGATCCTCTGGAAAAAAGCCATTTTCCAGAGGATCTCTTATTCCTACTTGAAATGTAGGAAATAAGAGATCCTCTGGAAAAGGGCTTTATTCCGGAGGATCGCGCCAGTCTAGAC